ACTGTATTCACCCCTGCCTTAGCGGGCAGATTCAATGCTTCAGAACTGCGAGAATTCGAGTGGGCATCTCAAGCCTGATAATTCACTGTATTCACTCCGCCTTAGCGGACTATTTCAACAGTTCAAAATTGCGAGAAACCGAGTGGGTATGTCAAGTCTGATAAATCATTGTATCACCCCTGCCTTAGCGCGCAGATTCAATGCTTCAGAACTGCAAGAATTCGAGTGGGCATCTCAAGCCTGATAATTCACTGTATTCACTCCGCCTTAGCGGACTGGTTCAACAGTTCAAAATTGCGAGAAACCGAGTGGGTATGTCAAGTCTGATAAATCACTGTATTCACCTTTGCCTTAGCGCGCAGATTCAATGCTTCAGAACTGCGAGAATTCGAGTGGGCATCTCAAGCCTGATAATTCACTGTATTCACCTCGCCTTAGCGGACTGATTCAACAGTTCAAAATTGCGAGAAATCAAGTGGGTATTTCAAGTATGATAAATCACTGTATTCACCCCGCCTTAGCGGGCAGATTCAATACTTCAGAACTGCGAGAATTCGAGTGGGCATCTCAAGCCTGGGAATTCACTGTATTCACCCCGCCTTAGCGAACTGATTCAACAGTTCAAAATTGCGAGAAATTGAGTGGGTATATCAAATTTGATATATCACTGTATTCACCCCGACTTAGCGGCCAGATTCAATGCTTCAGAACTGCGACAATTCGAGTGGGCATCTCAAGCGTGATTATTCACTGTATTCACCCCGCCTTAGCGGACTGATTCAACAATTCAAAATTGCGAGAAATCGAGTGGGTATTTCAAGTATGATAAATCACTGTATTTACCCCGCCTTAGCGGGCAGATTCAATGCTTCAGAACAACGAGAATTCGAGTGGGCATCTCAAGCCTGATAATTCACTGTATTCACCCCGCCTTAGCGGACTGATTCAACAGTTCAAAATTTTGAGAAATCGAGTGGGTATTTCAAGTCTGATAAATCCCTGTATTCACCCCGCCTTGGCGAGCAGATTCAATCTCCCAATTCCTCCATATGAGCAGAGTGCTGAAATAGCAGTTCAGCACTGATTCTCACCATGTATTTGGTCAGGATTGGCGGCAGGGCAGATTCGTTTTCCAGTATTCAAACTGTTTTTCCCCACGCAC